CCTGCTGGATTTCAGAGCAGAGCAAGCAATTCCTGCTCTCATCCAGCGCTGCCACAAACACCCTGGAGCCCCGAGTTGTGCCAGACTCATTTCCTCGAGTTTTTGGGTCTGTGTTGGGAAAAAGAGCGTGGTTTTGGAGAGGAAAGGCATCATCCCAGGGGCTGGGCTCTGCTGGAAATGCCACGCTGGCCTCCCATCTCCTCCCTGCCCATGCAGCTCTGCAGGAGCCTCGCGTTGTGAAGCCAGATTATTTCATTTCTCCTGAAATTCAGAACTCCTGGCTGAGCCAAAGGCCTGGGTCTGTGCTGTTGCCTTTGGAAAGCAGGATGCTGGCCAGGAGGAGCTGGATGAATTTCTGCCCTCTGAGGGTTTTCTCATGGTGGGAGTTGAGGTTGGCAGGAGGGAAAAGGTTCTGCGTGGGCAGGGCAGGACACCAGCGCCGCCGGGTGTGAGGCTGCACTTGGAAATCTTCAATAAGCACCACCATGGTTGTCCTTGGTCGGGGCAGCTAGGCAGATTTGAGGTCTGGGCTGAGAGCCACAGTGATCCTGCCAGCTTCTGTGGAGCAGCTCAGCTTGCCCAGAACAGGTAGTGATAAAACACCGAGAAAATTGAGTTTAAAACGTGGCCGTGGTCGGGCTCACAGGATTTAATCCAGTGTCACCTCACTGGGAATGGGCTGCAGGGATTTTGGGTGGCATCTCTGGTGGTGACAGCAGCTCCTTTGGCTTCTCCTTGGCACCTGTCCTGGCAGAGAGCTTGGCTGCTTGTCGTGGCCTCTTGTCTCCTTCCTGAAATGAGACACCAGGATCAAAGTCCTCTTTAGCAAAGGGAACCCCAGGGGTGTCAGCCTTGCCCCAGTGCCAGAATTCCTGCTGGAGCCAGGATGTTGAGAGAATCACAGAATCATCCAGGCTGGAAAAGTCCTTCAGGGCCATCGAGCCCAGGCTGTGCCTGTCCCCACCTTGTCCCCAGCCCACATCCAGCCCTTCCTGGGACTCCAGACCTCCCTGGGCAGCCCCTTCCAACGCCCAACCACCCTTTCCAAGAGGAAATTCCTGCTCTTTACCCAGCCTGAGGCTTTGTCCTTGTCTGACACCCCACATTTGTTGCTTGGCTGGGTGCAAACTCGTTCTGGCAGCTTTTCTTCCAAATAAAAATGACCCAGCTTCCAGGGGGATGCTCTTGGTGGGACCAGGCAGGGGTGTTGCCTTCCTCGTGCCCATCTCTGGTTGCATTTGCAGGGCAGCACGTGCCAGTCTGATCTCACACCCGGGCTGCAGAGGGGGCAGGATGGAGCTGGCTGGTAATAAAGGATGTGATTTATTCCCTTTATGGGTCTGCACACCCTTCCCTCCCTCCAGGGAGTCTTGTAAATGATCCCAGCACTCGTGCCTGATGTGTGGAGGGGAGGGACTCTGGTGGATCTCAGTCTGTGGCAACTTTCTTAATCAAAACACGTCTGGATTTGGCCCAATTTGGAGTTGAAAATAAATGTATGTGACAGGGTGGCTTCAGGGATACTTGGAACTTGTTCCCTTTTCCTGGATTTTGCCATCTCCCAGAGTTCTCCAACAGAGCCCTCCCTGACCTCCATTAAGGCTCAATTGGCTGATTTTTAATTGATGTCTTCCCCACATGTGCACGTGGGAGAGCTGGAGCAGCAGAGAGGAGGGAGGGTGGGCAGTGACCTGCTCAGCTGGGAACGAGGATGTGCCTGGGATGAAGAGCATCACCTGTCCTTGATGGCTGGGGACAGTGGTGGCACCTCTGGAGCCAAGTTCTGGGCTGCTCAGGCTGGTCAGAAATGGATTTATAAATGATTCTCAAAAGCTGGCAGAAAGCTCACAGGGTCTTGTGTGATGAACTCTGAGATAAGGCGTGATAAACTCTGAGATAAGGCGTGATGAACTCTGAGATAAGGCGTGATAAACTCTGAGATAAGCTGTGCTGACTTAGGAATAGAGATTGTTGAGAGGGAGACTGAGCTAGGAACAAGTTTCAACTTCAAAATACGGCCTTGCAAAAAGAGCAGATGTTTTGGAGGATTAGAACTGTGCAAGATGCATTGTGGGGTAAAAATAGAGGTGCTTGGTGTTAGAAATGTCAGCAGCATTGTGTGGCAAAAGCTAAATAGGCTGGGGGACATTTCTGAGGTGTTGGAAGCAGGAGATAGGGTGGCTTCTGCTGGGGTGGCGTTGGGTTTTACATCTCTTATGTCTCACCCTTCGCTGAGACTGAAAATGGAGTAAAATCATTTAAAGCACCTCTCAGCTGCCCCACGTCTCTGTAAAAGGTGGGAAAAGCAGGACCCCCTGATCCAGGAGATGAGTTAACCCTTTCTGCAAGGACAGGATCTGAGTCCTGTTCTTCAGAGGAGCAGAGGGAGCTCGTGCTGTCCCCACCCCACCCTGCTCTCCTCCCCCAGCCCATTTGGGCAGAATCTCTCATTTTTGTGGACAGGACCTGAGTCCTGTTCTTCAGAGGGAGCTCGTGGTGTCCCCACCCCACCCTGCTCTCCTCCCCCAGCCCATTTGGGCAGAATCTCTCATTTTTGGCACAGGTGGGAGCACATCCTTCACCTGGGAGCTCATTCAGTGTCTCCCCACATCCCCCAGCTCTCCTAAGGGCATCCTCCAGGCTTTTTTCCCCTCACAGAGACCTGACAGGAGCAATGAGGCACCCAGCTTTTGCAGAGTTTGCTCTTTGCCCAGGAATCAATCCAGTTCACCAAGCTGAGCTGTCAAAACTCCTCCAAGGGCACGGGCATTCCTCATGTTTTCACCATCAAATTCTGTGTGACACTTCATTTAAAGCTGAAGCATGGAGCCTCACCAGCAAGGAGATTGCTGGAAGGTATTGATTTTGCTTTGGTTTTTTTTGTGTTTATGTATAAAAACGTGTTTTAAAGTATTGATAAGAGGACATTATTGCTGGGCAGACCCTGGATTTATACTCGCTCTGGTTTAGTTTTCTCTCAGTTTTTTTTTTAAGATCCATTTGTCCAGCGTGTCTGTGAGCAACAAAATTCTGGCAGGAAATGGATGTCATGGATTCGTGGGGTTCTGTGCTCCTCAAACAAAACAAAACCAACAAGTCAAACAAATCCCAGCTTGTGGAACTGAATCACCTGGAACTGATTTTCTAAAGGGAGAAGAAGCTTCTGCTGTGGTCTGTTGGGTGCTTGGAGGCATTTTAGGTGTCCCCAAACTTTGCAAACTGCTCAGGAGGTTCATGGTTTGGAGCTCTGGGCCTTTTAGCTGATGGCAAAGCGTTTTGAAGAGAATTAGTACCAAACAAAAGCCAAAAATAACCAAAATAAGGCGAGCAGGGCAGAGTGTGGGGTGGGTTTGAGTCTGGAGGGGTTGGGAGCTGAAAGGAGACAATTCCCAAGGAAAGGTGGATTCTGCAGGTGGAGACAGGACACGCTCCTGGCAGAGCTCTCCCAGTGCCAGCTCCACTGCCCTGGAGCACACAGGAGCTTCGTGTGGGTGACTTTGAGGATTCCAGGATGGTTTGGGTGGGAAGGAACCTTAAAGCCCATCTCATCCCAGCCCTGCCATGGGCAGGGACACCTCCCACCATCCCAGGCTGCTCCAAGCCCTGTCCAGCCTGGCCTTGGACACCTCCAGGGATCATGGGGCAGCCACAGCTTCTCTGGGATTCTATTCCAGGGTCACCCCACCCTCACAGCCAACAATTCCTCTCCAAATCCCATCCATCCCTGGGAAGCCATTCCCTGTGTCCTGTCCCTCCATGCCTTGTCCCCAGTCCCTCTCCAGCTCTCCTGGAGCCCCTTTAGGCCCTGGAAGGACTCTGAGGTGTCCCTGGATCCTTCCTTCTCCAGCAGATCCACATCCTTCCTGTGCAGAGGACCCAGAGCTGAACACGGAGTGTGGAGTTGCCTCCTCTGCTTCCCTCCTCGCCCCATTCCCACCCTGATTCCTGCATCCTCTGTTCCAGCCCTTCCCAGGCAGGGAAGAAACCCTGGGAGCATCTGCTGGCTCTGGGTAACCCTTGAGCCCAGCCAGACACTGAGCTGAGTTTTGTGATGCTTCTCCACCTTGGGAAGGAGCAGGATCAGGAGTTCCTGAGCCAACACTGTCCCTGCTTTTTCCATGTCCTGATGAAGCCACAGAGCTCCCGGGGTGGGAATGCTGCTGGCTCAGCTCTGGCCCTGCTTTTCCACAGCCCAGAGCTGCCCAGTTTGCTCCCTTGCAGTGAATTGTTGGTGCTTTTGATGGCTCTTCAGTGCAACATTCAACGTGTTCCTGCTGAATGTTCCATCCCCCCCAGAGCTGTTGGCAGATGAAAGCTCCCAGACTGGCTTTCCATGGGAATTTCATCATCCCAGCTGTCACGCAGATCCCGGTACAAATATTTCCACTGTTAATGGTTTCAGCGTGGGCTTTTCTGTGGGATCAGATGTAATCTTATTTAATGGAGTTCTACTGCTGTGATGCTTTGGTCTTTTCACCAGGCTGGGCTGAATTTTTAAATGGAGATTGTTCAGAGCAGAGGCAGGGAAAGGACTGGAGGGGTTGAATGGGGTGGGAAATGTGGGATGGACGGAGTGACTTTGGATCAGCCAGGGGAGGCTGAAAGTGTGAGAGCAGGGAAAGGATCCAGGCTGGATGCAGCTGTCAGGAACGGTGTGAGACTGTACCAGGGGCTGGATATCAGGAAAAGGGTGTCAGGTGGGGATGGTGACATTCCCAAGGCTGCCAGGAGCATTTGGACAACGCATGGGTGGGATTGTTGGGATGGCATCCAGGGATTGGGCTGGACGACCCTGCTGTGTTCCTTCCATCCCCATGCTTCTTGGAAGAGGCAGAAATTCAGCAGGATTTTACAGCTGTGTGGCTGGGATGGGGGAATTCCTGGAGCTGCTGCTGCACTGAGCCAACGCTCGGTGGCTTCGGGGCACTGCCCATGCCAGGGCCACCACAGCTGGCACAGCCCCAGCCCCAGCCCCACCAACATGTCACTGCCACCCGCAGGTGGTGCGCACGGAGAAGAACAGCCTGAACAACAGGTTCCTGCCCTGGGACGAGATCGAGACCGAGGCCATCCTGTCCATCGACGACGACGCCCACCTGCGCCACGACGAGATCATGTTCGGCTTCCGGTGAGCCCTCCCCAAAACTGCTGCTGCCCGCGGCCAGGCCCCGCTCAGGCAGCAGCCAGGGCACGGCCAGGGCGGGCACATCCCTGCCCGTGGGTTCCCAGCTCTGCTTCGTGGGGAAACACGCGTGAATGGGGTGGGGAACCTGAGCCCAGCTCGTCCAGGAGTCCTCGTTCCCCACAGTCTTACCCAGCTCCTCAGATCTGCTGTGCTGATGATGGTGCTGGAGTGGTTTAAGGCCTGTGGCTTCCTGGGGTGGACAGGGCCTGGGAAACCAATCCAAGAGGCTGCTTCACTCCATCCAAGGCCAGGGTGATGCTCAGGTGCTGCTGGTGGCTGCCACGCTCTGCTCCGTGTCACTCTGGGGTGTGACAGTTCTTGGGGCAGAGCAGGCAAAGGCAGCTGTCCCCTAGTAAAGGGAGATGTCCCCTAGTAAAGGGAGATGTCCCCTAGTAAAGGGAGATGTCCCCTAGTAAAGGGAGATGTCCCCTAGTAAAGGGTGATGATGTCCCCCAGCAAAGGGAGATGTCCCCAAGCAAAGGCAAATGTCCCCCAGCAAGGGAAATGTCCCCCAGCAAAGGGAGATGTCCCCCAATAAAGGAAGGTGTCCCCCAGCAAAGGGAGATGATGTCCCCCAGTAAAGGCAGATGATGTCCCCTAGTAAAGGGAGATGATGTCCGAAGTAAAGGCAGATGATGTCCCCGAGCAAAAGGAGATGTCCCCAGCAAAGGGAGATGATGTCCCCTAGTAAAGGGAGATGTCCCCAGCAAAGGCAGATGATGTCCCCAGCAAAGGGAGATGATGTCCCCCAGCAAGATGTCCCCAGTAAAGGGAGATGTTCCCCAGTAAAGGATGTCCCCCAGTAAAGGGAGATGTCCCCTAGTAAAGGGAGATGTCCCCTAGTAAAGGGAGATGTCCCCTAGTAAAGGGAGATGATGTCCCCCAGCAAAGGGAGATGTCCCCAAGCAAAGGCAAATGTCCCCCAGCAAGGGAAATGTCCCCCAGCAAAGGGAGATGATGTCCCCTAGTAAAGGGAGATGATGTCCGAAGTAAAGGCAGATGATGTCCCCGAGCAAGGGACATAAAGGAGATGTCCCCAGCAAAGGGAGATGATGTCCCCCAGCAAAGCAGATGATTTCCCCCAGCAAAGGCAGGTGCTGCTGCTCTCACTCCCACCCTGTTCTGCTCCAGCATCCATCTTTCCCCTGACTTCTCCCTGGCAAAAGCTTCCTGCTCACAGGAACGAGGGGGCTCCTGCTGGGGGTTTGTGCCAGCAGCTCCTGCAGCTCCTGCAGCTCCTGCAGCCAGAGCTCCCCCGGCCAGGAGCTGTGGGGAGTGAGGGTGCCACAAGGAGCTGCCATTCCCAGCCAGAGAACACCCAGCAGCTGCTGGGGTGGGAGATGGGGACCAAAACCTGCTTGGGAGGGGGATTAAAAGGCACAAAATGCCTGGAAACGCACCAGGCTCCTTCAGAGAGATGAGAAATGAGGTGTGAGAGGGATCAAAGTGCAGGAGGAGGCGTCGGGATTCCTGGCTTCCCTTCCCTGCCCCATTCCAGGCTCTTTATCCAAACTGGGCTGTTTTCTCCCCTTTTTTGGTCTCTGTTTTGCTGATTAGCCCTGGAGAGCATCAAGTGAAGGCTGGAAGTGCCCTGTGTTAGTCTCACTCGTATCCCTGCTTGCAGACACCCTGTTCCCACAAAGCCTCCCTGTGTTAACACATTCCCAGGAGCTGCTGGAGTCTTGGCACTGGAGTGAACCTCTGCCCACAGCAACTGTGCTTTGTCAAAACTTTGCTGCAGGCTTTGATTCTTGGGGCCAAAAGCATCGTTTTTGCCACTCAGGAGGGAGCTGGAGGCACCCCCAGAACGATTCTCCAGAGAAATCCTGATTTTTGTGGCTGAGCTGGGAAGGAAAAAGTTCAGAGGAAAGAGAAGATGTGGGAGAAGTGAAAGGGAATAAATGGTTTTGACTTCCAGCTTTTCTAAACAATCACCCTGGGCTGACAGGAGCTGCAGCAAACAAGTGCTGGGGGCAGGATAGAGCCAGGGAAGCTGCTGGTGGTGTTGATTCCTCGGGATTATCTTGGACTTCCATTAATTGGAGTGGAGGATTGAAGAGCAAACACGACTGTGCTCCGTCAGAGTGAGGAAAGCTCAGGGAATCTCAGGCTGCTCTCCTCCTGTAGCTCACCCAGAACAGGGCTTGTGGGAGAAACTCACACCCAAATGAGGGGAAAAACCCAAAAATGGCACTTAGTGCCCAGTTTTGTGCCTGGCAAGAAGGGAAAACCCTTCTGTGTCCACAGGGAGCTCTGTCCTGCAGTCTGGAGTCACAGCTTGGGCACGGAGCAGCAGGGAGGGGGGAATGAACCATCCAAAGGAAGGCAGCAGCCCTGCCTGTGCAAGCTGCATTTGTTTCCCACCTTAGGCACTGACTTTTCCCTTAATTATTGCTGCCAGTGTTGCAGCTCTCCTGGGGGATTTCTCTGCAGGAGCGTGAGCTGCAGACGAGAGCAGAGCATGAAGCAATCCCGCTCTCCACATGCAAAATTCAGGATTTCATTCCCAGGGCTGGACTGTGAGCACGTGTCGGGGTGAGGGAGGCACTCAGGGCTCTGGAGGCTTTTCCTGTGGGGCCAGGGAGCTGCAGTTTGGGATGAGGAGGCAGCACCTTGGAAATCCAGATCTTCCCTCAGGAGACACCAGGGCCTTCAGCATCTTGGCAGCTTTTCACAGAATTAGGGAATTACGGAATTTCCAGAGTCTTGGAAAGGTTTGGGTGGGAAGGGACCTCAAAGCTCCTCCAGTCCCACCCCTGCCATGGGCAGGGACACCTTCCATTATCCCAAGACCCATCCAACCTGGCCTTGAAGCTCTCCTTAAGGGAGGTTGATGTTATCTTGGCTTTCCTGAGCTGCTGGGAGATGAAAAGTCCCAGTGATTTAGGGAAGAGGCCAGGAGATGCTGGGCTCCTCCCAGGCTGAGCCTTAATTTTCTTCTAAACCTCCAGAACAGCCCTTATGAGCTACAAAATCCCTGATTTATGGATGAGGAGCCCTTTCCCTGTGCGTGAGCAGCTGGGCTGTGCTCTGGGACAGGAGCACATCTCACTCTGCTTTCCTTTCTGCCCTTTGGCCATTCCCTGGATAAGCAGCTGCCAAACTCCTTTGTGCACAGACCCCTCAGCCCTGGCAGCCCCTGGGGAGGCTCGGGGGGGCTCCCAGCTCCGTGTCTGAGGGCAGTGCTGTGTTTGCAGGGTGTGGAGGGAGGCCAGGGATCGCATCGTGGGCTTCCCCGGCCGCTACCACGCCTGGGACATCCCCCACCAGTCCTGGCTCTACAACTCCAACTACTCCTGCGAGCTCTCCATGGTGCTCACTGGTGCTGCCTTCTTCCACAAGGTGAGACCTCCCCGGGGCTGCCCCTTCCTGCTCGCAGCCACCCCAGGCTGCACATTTGGGGGGTTGTGGGTTTTTAAGGGCAAAAGTGGGAGTTTTCTTCTCCTTCCCCCTCGCTTTCTCCAAACTGAAACACAGCCAGAACCTGCTCCTGAGTGCACTGGGAAGGATCTCCAGGGGCTGTTCCCGCTGTGCTGAATCCACAGCAGCAGAGAGCAGGATCTGAGGGGGGCTGGAACCTCCATTCCTTGATTCCTGAGCTTCCAGGAGAGGGTGGTGGCTGTGGGAGCTTTGCTGCTGCTGTGGCTGCAGCGGATCTTGGTGCAGGATTAACTCCAGTACAGGGAATGTTTCCACTGGGATCCTTGAGTTTTGAGTCAGGCACACCCCACATGTCCCACGTGTTGCTGTCACCTTGTCATGATCCATGGGAATGGATTCGTGGTGGTTCTGGGAATGGGATTCGTGGTGGTTCATTAAGTGATCTGAGTCCAAAAACCAACATGGAAAAGGGATTGCAGCATCAATCAGAACAAATGCACCGTGATTGAAATGACCACAGCAAATGCCTTAGGGGGACTGGGGAAAAGGAAAGAATAGGGAAAGGGAGGGAGAAAGGGAAGGTTTCAAACCTTACAGCTACCAAACATAGAGAGACAAAGTCCTTGAAGTCCAGTCGATGGAGTTTGCCTGGGCACGTCAGGGGAGACCTCAAAAACACTGGTTAACTCAAGGTTCTTTATAGTCCTTTTTTGGTGGGGGGAAACAGGTCTTGAAATCACTGGGGGGAATCAGATACAATAAAAAATAGTCTATTGAAAATTGCTGAGGGGAAAGAAGGCATTGAAGACGGGTAGAGACAGTCCATGTTCTCAGCAGTGGGTGAGAACCATTGTCTTCTTGGCCATACCTGCAGACAAACATCTCACTTTGGTCAGGTCAGCTCCCCACACACCTCCCCTGGGTTAGGGGTTTCACTTTCAGTCCTTGGGAGGAGGGGGAGCTCCTCCATAAAGGGGTTTTCATGTCTCAGTCCTTGAGGGAGAAGCTTCTCCCATCTCAGTCCGTCCATCACAGTGGCTGTAAAGCAGATGAGGGGTCTTCTGTGGGGACCACCAAAAGTTACCCCAGAAAAGTCCAGCCAGGCCAAGAGGTGGGGAAATTCCAGGGCTGTTGTCACAAACCAGGTGCAGGCAGACAGGGCGAGGTGCCTTTCTTCCCCAGCAGCAAACACACCTGAAACAATCCCTTGGCAGGCCAGAGCTGTGCTCAGGGCCCTCAGGATTATTTGGTGCTCATCCACCACCAGCAGGCCAGGATTTCCATCAGGGTCTGTCCTTGAGACAGTCATGAGGCAAAAGAGGGGTCTCTCCCACACCTGTGGAGCACTGGAGGATGCTGTGCCTTTCCCCTGCAGTACTACGCCTACCTGTACTCGTACGTGATGCCCCAGGCCATCCGCGACATGGTGGACGAGTACATCAACTGCGAGGACATCGCCATGAACTTCCTGGTGTCCCACCTGACCAGGAAACCTCCCATCAAGGTAAAGCAGCCAGGGGCTTCTCCCAACGTTGGTGCTGCTGGAGAAGCTGTGGTTGGGAAGTGGGTGGGGTCTGCTTCAGGGAAATGCAGCTCCAGGGGGAAAGCTCAGCCTCTGGAATAGCTGAATCCCTGCCACAATGAACTGAGGTTGGACATGACAGGATTAATCAGACTGGATTCCCTGTCTGGTGAAAGGTTCCCTGCCCATGGTGGAGATCTCTGCTCTGGAGCCAGGCTGGGAAAACGGGGGGGGTTCACCTGGAGAAGTGAGGCATCCAGGGAGAGCTCAGAGCCCCTTCCAGGGCTCTCTCCAGGAGAGCTGGAGAGGGACTGGGGACAAGGCATGGAGAGACAGGACACAGGGAATGGCTTCCCACTGCCAGAGGGCAGGGATGGATGGGATTTGGGAAGGAATTGTTGGCTGTGATGGTGGGGAGACTGTGGAATAGAATTCCCAGAGAAGCTGTGGCTGCCCCTGGATCCCTGCTGGAGCAGCCTCGGACGCTGGAAGGTGCCCCTGCCCATGGCAGGGTTGGCACTGGATGAGCTTTGAGCTCCCTTCCAGCTCAGCCCATGCAGAGATTCCCTCTGTATCCGAGCCCCTGGCAGCGCTGACCCCTCTGTCCCTCCTGGCAGGTGACCTCCCGCTGGACCTTCCGCTGCCCCGGCTGCCCCCAGGCGCTTTCCCACGACGATTCCCACTTCCACGAGCGCCACAAGTGCATCAACTTCTTCGTCAAGGTGTACGGGTACATGCCCCTGCTCTACACCCAGTTCCGCGTCGACTCGGTCCTCTTCAAGACCCGCCTGCCCCACGACAAGACCAAATGCTTCAAGTTCATCTAGAGATGGCAGCAGCTGGGCCCGGCAGCTCCCGGCTGCGGCCGGGGGCCGGAGAGGCCGGCACGGGGCTGGGATGCAAAAGGCTGTGGCAAACGGGCTGGTCTGGACTGGGACGGGCTCTTCCCTCTTCCCGGACAGGGAATGGGATGCCAAGGCTCCTGTGAGGACACACCCATGGATCGTACACTGAGGAATGGCTCGCTGGCCACTGGCTCTGCCCCTCCGCTAGCCATGGCGGCCGTTCTTTTTAATTATAATTATTGTTATTTAAAATGAAAGTGTTTTAGATTTGCCACGTGAGGAGCTTTTTTGTTTTCTTTTCTTTTCCCTCCCCTCTCCCCATTCCATTTCTCCCTCTGGACCCTTTAGCCCATCCGAGGGGACTGCAGCAAGGCCAGGTTGGAGGTGTTTGGGTGCAGCCTCAGGGCAGCTGCTGTCACCACTGCTGTCCCCATCCTCCCTCCCGTGGCACGGCCCTTCCCACCCACCAGATCCTGGCTTCTCTTGCCCTGTGGCTACTACTGAGGCCTCTCAGGTGTCACCTGGTGAGGAGCCCTTTGCTCTGCTTTGCTCTGCTCCCCACCCTCAGCCCCTGGAGAGGGAAGAGCTTGGCCTGGATGGTCCTTCCTGGCTCCAGCTCTGCTGCAGCCCGGGGGCTTCAGTTCTGCTGTTTCTGTCTTTTCTCACCTTGTCCTGCTGATTCTCTGAAGACAGGGAGTGTGTCTGGGGCTTAGGGCAGATCCTCCTGCAGCACAGGCAGGGCTGGGGCTGCTCCAGGCTCCTGCAGGCTCTGACCCTCCTCTGTGCTCAGCCTGGGTGTGCCAGAGCTGCAGTTCCCACTCTGCCTCGTCCCCCTCCCAGAGCGCTCCGTGCCCGTGTTTGCCGTGGGCCTCAGCAAGCTGCCTTAACCCCAGCCCATCCCCACACCCTGGCTTTGGGCTGGGTGAGGTTTAATCCCAACAGCAGCTTCCCAGGGTGTGATGCTGCTGGGATCACAGCCTGGGTTTGGAGCTGCTTCCTCTCCCCCAGAGCAAAAATTCTGTCACACCTGAAACCACCCTAGCTCAGCTCTACTCCATCCTGCTGGACATGAGGGGAGCACAGGAGGGAAGGGAGAGCTTGGCCCTCGTGTGTTGTTCTCCAGATGTTTGTGAGCAGCCTGGAGAAGCTCTTGCTGGGTAGGTGGGAAGGTGACACTCGTGTGGTCACCTCGGTGTCACCCCTGGTGTGTGGGAGCAGGGATGGTCCAGCAGCAGCTCCTGGGCTCATTCCCAAGGTCAGCCCTGTCCATGCTCCTCCTGCACCACGTTTTGGGGCCTCTCCAAACTCCTCTCCCCAGGTTTTCCTGTCAGCACTGACACTTCATGGGAAGGGGAGGGAAGGAGCAGCCTGTTCCCAGCAGAGCCCGTGGCTCGTGCCTTCATCAGCACCAGTGACCACAGCAAAACACGGATCAAGGAATCTTTTCCTACCTTTTTTCTCCACCTTTCCATTCCCTTTTTGTTTTAACATCAGATGTCCAAACGTAAAGTCTCCAAAAGAAATGCCATGGGAGACTCCTGCAAAGCCCTGGAACACCTGGAAGGATTCTCTGCCCCTGCCCAGGGTGGAAATGTGGCACTTGTCAGGAGCTGTGTCAGCTCCAGCACGGGAGACTCCAGTGAGGCCCTGGAACACCTGAAGGATTCTCTGCCCCCGCCCAGGGTGGAAATGTGGCACTTGTCAGGAGCTGTGTCAGCTCCAGCATTCCCAGGGGCCTGAGCTCCTCTTCCACGGCTTTAATTCCGCCCTCATTAGTGGGGATTCATTAGCAGCAGTGCTGTGGCTCAGGTACAGCCCAGGCCTGGGCTCATCCCTGCCCTCCCAGCCCTCCTGGAGCACGGAGGGATCTGGGCATGGGCTGCACTCCACCCAAACACAGGCACTGCTCAGCAGCCTTCAGGCCTTCCAAAATCCGAAGGAAATGTTATTCCAGTGAGAGCCCGGGGGTGCAATGATGGGATGGGAAGGGTTGGCATTCCCAGGGGCTCGGGATGCTCTGGGTGTCAGAGCCCCAGGCTGGGAATTCTGCTCTCCTTTACTGATTTTAGATTTGAGGCCAGTTGAGATCAGGGATGAGAACAAATCCAGCTTTCTTCCTCCCGGGCTCTTTGGCCTTTCCCAAGCTGTTTTTGTTTGCTGGGAGGGTCCCCCTGTCCATTGTGCTGGAGCAGGGACAGGATGAGCAGTGAGATCTGTGTGTTGAGGGCTGAATCCTCCTTGCTGAGCACTCCTAAAAGGGAAGAATTTGAGGGTGCAGGGGTAAAGTGGCTGCTTCTGGGAGATACCTGGGCAGCAGCAGCCTTGGGAGGGATGGAATTCTGTGGGGAAATGAAATGCCAGCAGGAACATCTTCCCCACTCCCAGTCCTACTGCTGTGGCTCTCCCAAATCATCCCAAACACCACCAAACCCCCCGGATACAGGGTTGGGATTCACAGCCCAGCTTTGTGCTCCTGAGACATGCCAGCACCTGAGCTTGTCCTGAGGCTCCTCCACCAGGGAGGAGAGGGGGCTTTTCCAGAGTGCTCCCAGCCGTGCCACCATCCCAAAATCCTTCCTTGCTCCCACCCATCGTTCTCCCGGGATTTTCGGGGCATCCCAGGGTCACTCTGAAGCTCAGGTTTGGTTGTATGATCCATCCCAGCTCCTGGGGCACGTGGCCTCCACCATCCCAGCCCCGAGGAGACGGGAAGGGCTCTTGGCAGCTGCACCTTGTCCCTGTTCCAGAGTTTCTGCTGCTCCTCCCGGGCACGGAGCGAGGCCTTTCCCGCTGTAAATAGCAACGACCGAGGTGACACGGCCCCTGCCCTCCCCTTGTGCCCACGGTGCTGTGAGCACCAGGATTTCAAATCCAACAGGGACTGAGAGAACAAGGAACACTCCTTCGACACGAGCACAATGTTGAGTTTTTTGTAAAAGGTTCCAATAAATGGAGAGTTTAACTTGGGAGCGTCTCGGTGCCTCTTTGCTGGGGCTGGGAGAGGGGCTCAGCACGGGGCTGCTGCTGCTCCTGGCCCTGGGACACCCCAAAATCAGGCATCCCCTGAGCTGCTATTCCCAGGTGAGCTGGTCTGGAAGGCTGGAAACTCCTCAGGGATGGCAGTGCCTGGAGCTAAACCCCATCATGTCCCTGGTGAGCTCATGGCTGGGCCAGGAGAGCCCCTGGGAGGGGTTGGACCCCGAGTGGCTTCCAGGGACATCCCAGTTTGCTTGTGTGGGTGTTTGCAGGCAATGAAAGCAGCAGCTGAGGCAGTGCTGGGATTGCAAACCTGCCCATCCCTGCCTGGGATCCAGAGCCCAGAATATTTAGGGACAGTTCCTGTGGCACTGCTGGCTCAGGATGCTCCCAGTCCCTCTCTCGTGCAGGAGGTGGGAAAACCAAACAGATCCATGAGGTTTGTGAGCAGATTCCCAGCCTCAAACCTGCAGGGAGGAGCAGAGGGGAGGAATGGAGCCAGCTGGGCCAGGAGCCATGGGATCCCCTCCATGCTGGGCTGGGAATCCCCCAGGATTTCCTGCACGTGGCTGGATTTCCTCTCTTCCTGCTGCCTTTTGGTTTTTGCCCTCCCTCCTGAGCAGCTGCTTCCTCCATGGTCACTTTTCATCTCTGCTGTCACTTTTCACCTCTGTGTTTCCTGCCCTTGCTGCTGCTCCCACTGGGAATTGTGTCCTTCCTTCTCCCTTCTGCCTTGGAGTGAGGCTTGGTTTGTGCTTGGGTTTGTTTCCAGGAGAGGTTTCAGGGAAACCCCAAAGGATTTTAGTCCTGGAGGGAGGAGGTGGATGCTCAGCCTCCCAAATGCCTGTGATTTCTCCCCAAAACATGGCAGGGAAGGGCACAGAATTCCCCACTCCAGGACCCCAGCCTGGCAGCAGCAGTGGGATGCTGATTTAGGATCTGGTTCCCAAACCAGCCCAGCAGCATCTTGGGCACAGACTCAGCTGGAGCCCATTTTCTCCAGAGGCTTTTCCTGAGGTAAAAATCTCCTGATCAATAATTTTTCCTGCTGTAACTGCTGTGTTTGGTGAGAGGAGGCACAGCTCTGGTTCCATTTCCGTTTCTCTGGGAGGGTTTGTACCCTGGCATGAGGAAACAGAGGCGATAAATCCTGTTAATAATTCATTCCCTGCTCCCAGGAGCAGGGCAGGGTGAAGTGCTTTCCACTCCACTCCTCTGCTCTACAAAGTGCCCTCGATTTTCCCTTCTGGATGATGCACTCCTTGATAGAGAGCAATTTCACTGGAATTGCTCCCGTGCTGCCCAGCAGTGCCAGGAAAGCCACCAGCTCCTGCTGGAGGCCAGGAGAGGAGCTGCTGGCACCATCCTGGGAGACTGGCCCCAGGTGATGGGTCCTTGAGAGGACCTGTCCCCTCATGGTCCTCAAGGGATGGGGTCACAGTCCATGGATCCTTGAGGAATGGGGTCACAGCTGATGAATCCTTGAGGAATGGGGTCACAGTCCATGGATCCTTGAGGAATGGGGTCCCAGTCCATGGATCATTGAGGGATTGGGGTCACAGTTCATGAATCTTTGAGGGATGGGGTCACAATCCATGGATCCTCAAGGGATGGGGTCACAGTCCATGGATCCTCAAGCAATGAGTTGACAGTCCATGGATCCTTGAGGGATGAACTCAGTCCATGGATCCTTGAGGGATGAGGTTACAGTTGATGGGTCCTCAAGGGATGGGGTCACAGCCCATGGATCCTTCAGGGATGAACTCACAATCCATGGATTCTCAAGCAATGAGTTGATAGTTCATGGATCCTTGAGGGATGGGGTCACAGTCCATGGCTCCCAGGTGACAACTCACCTGTGACAGGACTTTCCCATCAGGAGCATGCCCAGGCTATGCTGTGCAGCCAGTCCCAAATCCCTCTGCTCTCATTCCCACTCCTCCCAAAGGCTGAGCTGCTGGTGGGGCACAGATCCAGCACGTGGCTCCAGTTTCCCTCTGCTCCTCACATCCAGGTGCCCAAGGAGGTGACAGATCCTAGTGACAGTGACCGAGCCTGGTCACTGACCTGCTCCAGTTGTTTTCATTGGGTCTCACATTAATGGAGAGAAAACACAATGAGCTCCTCTCCTGGAGGTGACAGATCCCAGTGACAGAGACTGAGCTGGCATTAATTGATCTGGTCTAATTGTTTTCATTGGGTCTCACATTAATGGAGAGAAAACACAATGAGCTCCTCTCCACCCAGGAACAGCTGTTCCATAAAAGTCACCCAAGAGCAGAAATCTGATTTTAACCT